ATTTATGGACAAAGTTGATTTTCTTTTTAATAAAATGCAAAAAAAAAATAGGTTTAACAGTAATTTGACATGTCAAATATCAGCTGAAGTTGAATCAAATAGTAGGAAGTATTTGATATAATTTCTTACAGTTTTTGAGATATAGCCATTTCTGTATTGGACCAAGAAAAAGCAACAGATTGTCATTTTCCTTTCTGAATCTATATGGTAACAATCTAGAATATGTGTGTATCAAAAATGATGAAGATGACATTCCCAACCTATAGTTCTCAAGGTGTTTTCTTGAAAAATAACTGTGGCCATAAATGGGTTAGACTTAAGAAAGAGGACAAAAAGCTTTTGCACGTCTTCCTAACCTGGATGAAATTCTGCATTACTACACACCATCAGTCTAACAGTCAGTAAGTAAACTTGTGGGTTTAGTGTTGGGGGTACTAACATGTCACAGGACATGCCAGGGAAGAATAAAGGAGACACGAGGAGGCAGCAGCCTACCCAGGACTGCTGGCACGGCAGCCAGGGGTGGGGCCAAGACAGCATGGCACATGTCGACCTCAGACCCCCCTCCTCCTCCCCTTTTCCCCACGGGCTCTGACAGGCGGCACGGGAACCCTTTGGCCCAGTGAGGGGTGGACAGCCATCTGACAACTCCCCACCTGCATGACCTTTACCATGCTTGACCCCCTGCAGGAGACAATCACCTCATAGCAAACAGCCCCACGGGAGATGTAGACACACAGCACAGTCAGGAAGACACACAAATAGACAGACATGCATAATGCACACACAGATTGACAGAAAGTTAGATAGAGGGACAGTTAGTCAGAGTGTGGCATGCATACTCGCTTGTGATGAGTCATTCAAATCTGCTTTCCAACAACAAAGGGGCTCTCGCTTAAATAACATCCCAACTTTATGAACATAACAACAGTGTTCAGCCATTTAGTTGTCAAGATAGTCTATGGATACGCTTAGGTTTAAATAAACCACCCTAATTTGGTGTAAAAAAGCCACTCAGCTTTGTAAGCAGTGCCACTAATAAGGCCTCATGGAGCAAATATGATAGATCAGTCCAGTTTCAGTCAGTTTCGTCAGAACCTTTTCTGTGTATTGGTCAGTGGACATCTAAACAGTTTCAGATTTCTAGACAACTGAATGGGAAGTGGCAATAGTGTCAAATTTAAGTAGTCTGATTTGGAAAAGTTGTAAACATAGACCTACAACCATTGTTTAAAATGTTGGGACTGGACAAGAACAATTAGCATAATGGAACAGTAAAATAATACATTGTTTTTATACTGAATATATGTATTTGTAAGGTTGTTTTCTGGTCGGTAGATTTTATCTTCTTAATTCAACAGACAAGTCACATTTGCACAAACTTATCTCTGTTAAAAAATATTGCACAAAAAGTTCAACTGACAACTGGGCAACCTCCATCTGCTGATGAAGATCATGTGATATGACCAAAAGCTCCGGAGCAGAACAGACCTTGAGCTAATTATTTGATTAACAAAATACTTTTTTTTTTTATTACAAATAATGTACAATTAAAAAGCTATATCACAAAACAATATATTATTATTAATATAATCACTATTATCAGCACCAGCAGGAGTAGCGGCCACGTCAGGTCGCCTAAACGTCATCACAAGGCGACATGGCAGCTTGATTGCCACACGTAAAACGTCGGTGTCGGCGCTAACGCTGGGTGGTAAGTACAGTTTGTGGGGTTAACGTTAATGAAGCTTTCGTTGTATTGATATATTGATGTATTGA